TTTTTTTTTTTTTTTTTTTTTTGAACGAAAAAAAAATATATTTATGTTACTAAAAAGGATCAAAAAAAAGCGATCATTGCATAATCCATATGATTTTTTGATTTTTTTTTTTTCCGTATTTTTTCTGATTCATTGATCTGCATTACCGATCATCATAAAAAAATCGTAACGTTTAGACTAGCATGTATAAATAGTTTTAATATATTTTGACGCATAAATCGCATAATAGACTTCTAAATTAAATTTATCAAGGCAATCATCACTTTGCTTTAAATGGCAAAGTTGAGATTTTTGCAGAAAATAATAATATGATTGGGCGATACTTGATGTTTGACATTTTATAAGGAATCAATAACAATGGAAACGAGTTTCAAGAAACAATCAAACTTTTGATAGAAGAATTGCCAACAATTGTAACAAAAAAAAAGTTTTTTTGCCTTCATTATACATTAATTATTTATGTCCTTTATTTTAAGAAGAGGATATTTGCACACCATAGTTTAACAATATTACGTATAATGATTGAAAACAGAAATAAACGAAATGTTGATAGAAAATAACAAAGAAAACCTGAAATCAAATTCAATTAACTTCTTTCAAATATTCTAATGTTATTATAAGTTCACATTTGGTTTTTTGAAAAGACGTTGAATTTTTAAAACCTTTAGTTTGCTGATGATAGCGTATGTATTATGATAATTACCACAGTCACACGGTTACATAGTTATTAAATAAGTTCAAAAGTCAGGGTTATTTATTCGATTTTTCAAAAGAAATTGCGTAATATTGGTAAAATATTTGTTTTTTGCTCATATTTCTCTAGTTGGTGGTATTCAAATAATTTATTAAAAATTTTCATTATACAACATAATAAAATAAAAAAATTATTTACATCGAGTACGTCTTTATTTAAGGTTAAATTCATTGATTTCCACATACTGATATTATCCAAGAATTTATTTTAATTTTCCAATAAACTTTGAAGAAATTCTTAACCGAAGTTAGCTACGAAATTTCAAATAAAGGAAGAACGATAGAAATTTAAAGCATACAATTTAATCATCTATAGAAACCGATATCTATTTATTGTACATATTGAGGTACCGCATTATTATTTATGTTGCATAATTCTTTATAATAAAAGTAAAAAATTTGAGTTACTGTAGTTATCTGCATCCTTTGAAATATAAAATATATTATAATTTATTGATTACTTTATTTAACGGAATACCTATAATTATTAAATGCGATTACTAATGTATGAAAATATTTGCATATTATTGGATAGAATATTAGACGCAATAAAACCATTTTTAATTACGAGGGAAACTACCACTCAAGAGTGAATCGATAATTATTTTACTATCGATATAAAAGTGATTTATTAAAGAATCATACTTCAAAACGTAGTTAAATTTTAACGTCCTCTAATATGGAATTTTGAAAAGTAATAATTGTAATACAAAAAAAGTACAATAATAGAAAATTTCATTGTCCCTTAAATTTAAACATCACTCGAAATACTTCATATTCTTCTACAGAAAACGTACCTTCAGTTTCTCTAATTAATTTTTCATAAGAATTCTTACTATTATAAGAATAATTACAAAGTGTTTGAAGATCAAATCCACATATAATAAGATCTCCATTACCAAATGATGGTCCACAATAGTATTTATTATTTGTAGCATGTTTTTTATCCATTATACGACTTAAAATATAATTTTCATTCCTATTAATATTATTAAAAGAGAAAATAAAATTATCTCCAGAAGCACCATATATATTATTTGATTTCCATGCAAACGAATTAAATCCTCCAAGTATTTCATTACTACCTTCAACTTTAGCAACTGTTACAGTATAAGATTGATTATCACAAATTTCATGGAATTTTTCTGGATAAAATCCATCACGAGATCCACGAAATAATAATTTAAATTCAAAAGAATTGGGTAACTCGTCATCAATTTCTACTCTCTTAATCCATTTTGATATTGTTTCAGAATGTTTAAATGTAATAATTTTAGAATCAGGGTTTTTTGAATTAATCTCCTTAACTATACGAGGGTTCGATTTACTACTTGTCTTGTTATCATTATCCAAATATTCTTTTAATAAATCAACATATAATTCCTTGGGTAATACTTTTTTATATGGAAATACTCTACTTAAAAATTCTTTAGAAGTTAAATTATGGAACCTAATATAAGGTATAAATTTTTTTAAATTATTCTTCAAACTATTAAAATCTTCTTTTGAATAATTTGTAGGGTCGGATTTCGGAAGTTCTGGATTTTTTGCAAGTCCCCATTTAAGCACATGTTCCCAAATTTCAATCTCACTCATTTGAAGATTATCTTTTTGAATAATCGATACTAAAAGATTTTCCGAAATTGATTCAAAACTTTGTGATTTCAATATTTTAACTGGGTCTTGAGATATTAAATCATTACAATATTTTTGAAGACACAAAAAAGAATCATTTTCATTTTCAAAACTTGTTTGATATATCAAATCAATATTTTGTTCCATCCAGTTTACTCTATTTTCAACCAAAAATGATTGTATATGGGTGACCAATTCCTGAAGGTTTAATTCTTTGGCAGAAATTAGTAATTTAATTATATCTGAAGTATCACATTCTTTCAAAGAAAGTTTTCCTCCATAAATATATCTGTAATAATAAAATAAATAATCAATTAATTATCTAAAATTGAATAAAATATTTTAATAACTTTTAATTCATTACCTTAAAATTATTTCAAAAGTTTCAGGCAAAATGTTGGGCAAAATATCGGACAAACTAATATGCGTCAAAGTACCATCATTTTTCTTTTTATTAGATGATAGAATTCCTCGCAAGCAAGGAGAGCGATAATTTAATATAACCATATGAGCGCGGAAGATCTTTGCATAAGGGTCATTACCAACTTCAATAGTAACATCATAATATTCGTCATCATTCAAAATTTCAAGTAAATTTTGTAATAATTTTGGTAAAAATTTATTATCAGCCATAATGTTCGTTACTAATCTACCAACATTTTCAACACCTGAAGTATCATTCCATTTTTGCAATGTAAATTTCTGATGTCCTATTCTGTAAGATGATGGGAACCATATCATCCTTTTTTGCTTTCTATATAAACACAAATTTAAGAGAAAGAATCAATGGTTATTGTACTAATAACTTCAATAGCCTTACAAAGTTTTACCTTGACATCAAGGACAAAATTTCGATTAGATCTTAAAGTGATAGTATTATCCTCGTGATTGTAGTCCCATTCCTGATGAGCAGTAGGTTCATAATTATTTCCATGTTGAATAATTTGTGTACCTTTATTGCGAAATAATTGCTGAGTAGAAAATCAAAAAGTGATGTCTTTTACATATGACTACAAAGTACAAACCATTTTGGATTTTTTCTTAATTTGAAAAGAAAAGAAAAATTAGATTTGTAAATTTGTAAGATTTTGTTTCTATTAATTAAATTGTTGCTTACCTTGATAGACATCGAACACGAGACCAGATTTTTTGTTAGTAATTAATCCTCCATTAAAAAACCAGAGTTGAGTATCAACCTACATAAAGAAAATAAAAATAAATTTATCAAGAAAATACTATTTAATTAGAATTTTATCAAAAATTTACGGAAGGATCATCCGCGGATTTCTTTCTATATTGGATGATTTTAGCACAACTATTCATAGAGCCACCTTCAACCTCAATAACTTTCCCGGAATGTTGAGCTACAATCCAATAATAATTAGTCATTTTTTAAGATAATTTAATAAATAGATTATTTGGAATGCGAAATTGTTTTTGCTAAAAGATGGTTAAAAGTAAAAGGAATATCGTTGATCCAAATAAGAAAGAACAATATATAAAAATATTATTGTTTTACTCGGCAAGCGGAAAATCATTTAGCCAATTATGCAATTAACACACATGATCATCACTTATTACACACTGATCTTTCTTGAAGTTTGAATTTTAAAAAAACTTTATTCCAAAAAATTTCATGCGAATTTTTTTTTTTTATAGTTTTTTCTCAAATTTTCCTTCAGATTATTTATCAAAATTTCTTTTTAAAATAAAAAAAGTAATTCCAACAGGGGTATAGTTTTTTTTTAATTGGTTATAGGATAAAGAGATAAGAAATGTTTTGTTAGTTTAAAACAGAAGGATGGAATACAAAAAAAAATTTGACATTATTAGGAAACAATGAGAGTAAATAATGTGAGACAATGAGCAGACACAAAAATTTTTGATGAATAAATTCACTGATTTTTTATTGTTAGGAGATGAGATAAACATGATATATGAATTTTTTTTTCCAATATTTTATTATTAGGAATATAATGAAAAAAATTTTAATATTTATTGTTAGAAAAAACACAAATAAATAAAAAGTTTGTAGAAATGAGATGGAACACAGAAATAGAATTTCTTTAATATAGTAGCTTAAATATGTAAACAATTTTATATTATTGGAATTAATAAAAATATTAAAAACCTTATTGTATTTGTGATGACCAATGTAATGACCTGGGTATACTTTGAATTTTTATTTAAAAAGCTCATCTCTTTACTAATTTCCATTCAATTTGCTTATTTCCACATTGATTTTTAGTTATCTTACACTATAGGCAAAAATAATTTGAATTTGCAGAATTAAAGCTCAAGCAGATAGCAAGGAACTTCCAATCTAAGTTAAAAAAAAAATAGCTCAAAGTTCCAAAGAATATTATTAATAACCATTCCAGTACTGCTCAACTCTTGTAATTCTTGAATAAAAGCATCTGTTGCAACTTTTAAAGTTGAATAATTCAGTTCCTGAAAATATAACAACGGAACAATGATAATTTTGTTCAAAAAGTTTTGTTAAATTATCTAATAATATCACAGTTATCAATTATGTGCTAATATTTTGTTATAAGATTAGCTTCACTAGAAATATCTTTTTAACAGGTAAATTTCTCGGCCACAAACCATCATAGCTGCTGATTCATTGTCAGTCGTTAAAGCAACAATTTTATTAAAATATTGAAATCTTGTAGGACTCATATAAAATATGCTTGTACCTAAAATCAACCATGGCATTTGTTTTTCAGAAGATGTATTAATATGAATAAAACTGAAATTTTGTAATTCTAAATAGAGTTTGTCTTTTATCAAGGACAAAGCTCCAGAAAAAAAATATTGAAGAATTTTTTTGATCATAATTGTTTGGTTTGTGAACTGACAAAATTATACAATTTCCTTTTCAATGGAATTTAACAAGGCTTTTATAGATATGCTTAGCAAAGACCACTGCTAATAATACTATAGTAATCTTATGTCCAGTTTGTTTCATATACAAGAAATTAGATAAGGTTGCTTGATTATAAATGAATTATAAAGTGAATGAACCAATTAATACATTTCTGCATAAATAAAAACTTTGCTAAAATTATTAAATTTGGATTTAACTCTACTTTGAGATGATTTATATTTTGTCTCTTCGGCTACAAATACCTAGTAATCTTTTAAATAAACTAGCAAATTTAAACATTTGATCAAATTGTAATTTGCTATATATAAATTAGTAATTTGAATTGGCCTTATAATTAGATTTACAATATTTCCATAAAATTTTTATTTTTATGGTTATTAAAATTGTTAAATTATAGTTTTTCCAATATTCATAGTATGCTAAAGAATCCCAGCACTTTAAAAATGTTTCAATAAAATAATTAATGCTTTTTTTGAAAATAAGCATGAGACATACTAGACATGCCATGTTAAAATAAAATGTCTTTTTAGCTTCAAATTTTCATTTCTATTAAAGTACTATAATGAAATTAATATTTTCAACTTTTTTCATTTAATGTTTAGCTATTTATAAACATGACTAGTAGTTAATAATATTTTTTTCTATAAGAAGAATAAAATAATAAGAATATTGGGGATGGATGAAAAAAAATAATGGATAAGGATGAGATTAATGAAAAAAATGAATGGAAATATCGTGTGTAGTGCTTTGTTGAGTGAAGTCATTCCCACTGAATCAAAAGCTTTGCCATGTCTTGTAGACATATCCAAAGTTCTATTATTTGGCACATGAATGGATGTATTTATTGAGCTTACTGGAAGATTAGTGAGATTGGGTTCTTTGAGAACATTATCATGTTGGGTTAGGTGTAATTCTACCAATTCTTTTGAGTATTCTACTTCAAAATTAATATATATGGCAGATGGATGAAATGGGAAGGGATAAAATAGGTAAATCTAAAAACTTTTAATGATATATTAAAAAGAATATTATTTAATAAATCTTTCATTAAACTAATAGACTTCTTAGAAATTCACTTTTTTTTAACTTTAGTTCATAGATAATTTATTGCCCAATTCTTCAACATCTTGACTTAACTTTTATAAATCATTTTCTAAGTTTGAATAGAATCTATTTAAATTCATTTAAACTAAATAATAAAGGTAGTCCAGATTCCAGATTAAATATAGAGTCACTTAATAAATGAAACTCACTTTTTAACAAGTTTCAGATTAAACTACTAATATTTGTAAGCATTTATATATAAACTATCCTAGTATATATTTATTATAATTTGAAGTTATAAAAATACAATTTTCCATCTTTATAATTTTCAAACGCAATTAATAGATATGCTTTAAATAATTATTAAATATTAATTTCCAATAATAGTTTTTCAGGTCAATAGTTTTTAACTGAAACCAATCTTTGATTTGTTAATTACTAACTACAGTATCAGTAATCTAATACAGTGTCAATGCATCCAAAAGAAAAAATTATGGTGTTTACCTCAAAGTGGAAGTGTTAAAGTATCAATAATTGTGTGTGAAGAATTTTTAATTGTTTTAGATTGGTTGACAGATATTTTCAATAACTCTTGACAGCCAATTATTAATTATAACTACTATAGTAAAGATCAATTATCTTTAAGAAACATTTCCTAAAATAATTATAAAGCTATAATTAAAGAGATGCAAAAAATAGGTTGTATAATTAGTTAAGATTATCATACTCCTTATTCTAAATAAATATACTCAAAATTGCTGACCGGTATTAATTTTTTTAAAATATCTCCATCGAAATTGAGTTCTTTATGTTTTCTGCTAATTATAATCTCCTCCCCTTCCATGTGCAACTCAATCTCATTTTTTTGATGATTGAAGGTAGACTTACAATTACAATGAAATGAGTTCTATATAATGAATATTAAAAGTAAATGTATATATATCAGTTTAAAGGCTACTTGCACAGCTTTGAGATAGTTTTGAAACTCTCTTTTTTGTCACTTCTTTAGTCCTTATAAGTGCAAAATCAATTTTCTAATCTTGTTACTCGGCTTATTATTCTTTTTTTACTTTTCAGTAAAACAGATATGTTTATGTAATGATGTTGAGTATAAAATAAAAATGTAATTCTCAGATCTTAATATTATTATCTTGTGCTGATAAAATCATTTTAAAAATATATAATTATTTAAATCTCTGTCAGATGATGTAAAAGTGCTTACTTTTTTTTATAATTGACTTTTTGCCTTCAAGTTCTAAAATTTCTTCAGATATTTCCAAAATTTTAGAAATTTGAATATGTGAAAGTCTCTCTATATATAATCCTATGAGATATCCATACAAAAAAAATAGACAATACTCCTTTGCTATATTGCTTTTTTTTGGTTAGCTAAGAATGATTTGAGATAATTCATCTTGTCTTCATTATTCTAATGGTATTAAAATAAATATTTACCTTTGGGAAACAGAAGAAGCCTTTAAATAATATGTAAAGGGTTATATGATCTTATAATTTTTATTTGATCAATTAACATCTGAAAGCAAATACAAGCAGTGTATGCTTTCAAGTTGATCAAGTTTAAAATTATCCATCATTCAAATGAATATTTTTATGATATTTTTGGAGAGATATCCTTGGTTGCACATACCCCTCTACTGCATAATTTTTGGCTCAGTCCAATCAAAAATTCTCTATTTTTAGCTGGCTCACTTTCAAGTTTCACATTGATTTTTAATTGGATATGTAATATTTCATCAAATTAATCATATCAATAGATAATTGTTGACATGAGGAAAGTATATAGCACTAAACACCCTCTTCCAATTTATTGATTTTATCTTGTTGATGAAAATTTTTACTCTGGAAAGGTGATTTCACCTTGATCTATTCCTTCTAAAACATTATGAAAGTCTATAATATATTTAATCATTGGTTAATAAACATTATATTCTTTCAAATTACATGTTAACCATCAATTGTTAATGCTTTACTAACTGTACTATCAAGTAACATAATGGATCATGTATTCATCAGTTTGGTGTTAAAGATTTTAACTTTGGTATAGGAATAATAATAATTTCAGTAATAATTAATAATAGTTAAGTGACAATAATTTGAATGAGCATTACTATTTGGAGTTCTATCTAATAAACAGCCAAGATGAATAGGAGAAAGATAAATATGATAATATGGGGTGCATTCAGAATTTCAAATCAGAATCAGGAATTGGCATATTAAAGCTGATTAATAGAATTATAGAAAGTTACTAACAACTAATATGAATAATACTATTTTAATTTTTCCCTTCATAACTGTCTATCATTTCTTTTGTATTGCGAATCATAATATTAAGGAGTTTAGTATTTAATAAGTAATTAATTAGTAAACATTTTTGCTTTTCCATTGTCAATCAAAAATCGTTCTGAATGAGTTGGTTTTATCTTTCTTCCAACATCATTATCATTATAACTCCAAATGCTAAGGTTAAACAAATATCCACTAATTTGAAAAGGTACTATTAATGAGACAATAATTACGTTTACTATAATATGCATTTTAAAATCAAGCAATTTCTTTTAAGATATCAAAATTGAAGGTTTAATAATTCTACCTTTGTTATTAACCTAAATCATTATTTTTAACTGGATTTAATTGATTAATGTTGTTTAAATTATATTTTGTTCATATAAGGCAAGATCTTTCCAAAGATTTGCATAAGTATGTAATTGAGTAGAAGTAGAATTCCACATATTCTTTTCATTGGAAATTGCCATTATTCTATCAGCAATATGTAAACTGATATATAATGAAAAAGCATATTGGTAATTTAATATCGTTTTGTGACATTATCTGTCATAATATTATTGAGTGATTGGCCTGTAAGTGGTACTTAACATGAATTTTATAATATAAAAGCAATTTAAGATGTAAAGCCACCATTCCATCAGCTCATCATTGATGCGGAATTCCTTTCATTCCGCAATCTATTACAATTTCTTTTAAAGATAATAATTGTTGACACAATGCAAGATATTCATTGGTTCTCTCATTTTTAAGTTGCTGAATTATGTCATCTTTTTTATGATGGAACTTCATTTAGCAGAATTTCATTTTCAGCAATAAGTTGATAATGTTCAGAAGTAGAAGGAGGAGAAGCATAAAGGTTAAAATATGTCTTAATTGGATTATTATATAGAGTATTTTGATTTTTAAGTTGAAGTAATATTTCTGTAACATAATAGATATCTTAAGGAGTATTAATTATTCAATTTGTTAAATATTAATGGCAGTTTATTATTTTCTATTGTGATTCTTTACGTCAAAATTTTATTCATCTTATTTTTTTTGTTTATTCTGCAATTCATTTAGAAACTAGTATACTACTATTTCAACAGAGCAATAGTTATATATGAATAAATGAGTTAATCTGTATTCAATTAATAACAATAATTTCACCTTGTATGATACCTTTGTCTAGGTAATAAGAATAAATGATCCTTTATTATAATTTGATTTGAATATGCTCTAATTAAACATGAATCCATCTAAAAATCTTTCTCAACAAATTGTTTGGTTTGATAGCTTTGGCCATCATGCTTAGCATGATTAAAAACATTTTTCTATCGAATAATTGTAAACTAAAGTTTATATATAGAGTAATAAGTTGTGTTATACATTATTTATATAACTCCTTTAATTCAACAAATTCAACATTAAATTTAATGTTTAGTTCTTTTTCTAAATCTGCAAATAATAAAAGAACTTTTTCTGCCAGTTGGTTAGTTTTACCCATTTATATTTTTTAGAAACTGTGATGTAGGAAATTAAAAATGCATCAAATAGTCTGAAAGTGACTTGTTAAAATTGAAGCAACATGTTTATATTATAGGAATTTTTTGTCCTGGACATTCTGAATATAACCTTTTGTGATAGAATTTTGTATCAAGCACTATCAAATACATCTCCAATTTTACCATCAATATAATATACTTTTTTTAGAAATACTCAATAAAATGAATTCTATTAATTATTATTGTCACAACTGGCAGTTTCAGGTCACCTTATGATCTTTAATTTTGAGTTTCTGCTAGCATTAGAATGATTTGTCTAGCACATTTTCTTTAAAATTGAAAGATAGAAATTGATAACTACAGATTTTTTTTTACTTTGCTTCAAAAAAAGAGTGGATAATAATATAATAAATGTTAAAAAAGTAAAATTCATATTCTTAGACTAAAATTCATTTTCCATTATATATGTTGTTTGGTGAAATGAATTTTGACTTTTAGAAAAATAATGAAGCAAAATATGATAATTTTAATTAAAAACAGATTGTTTATATTATCAAAAGTTTTGTGGCTGTGTTCTGTACAATAGTTTGTTGCTTTATATACTATAGTTTTAGATTGTAATTTTGTTGTGGCTATGATTATGGCTATGGTCTTAAGGCTGTAATTTTTGTGAATATTATTTTGAGGCTATGATTATATAGTAAATAGTAATTTATGAGTATGATTTGAGGCTATGAACATGGCTAAGATTTTTTGGGGCTGTAATTATAACTATGGATTTTATATTTATTTGGTATGATGGCAGAGCAATAAATAAATATTGATAAAATTATGAGAAAAGTTTTTAAGATAATTAAAATTATATAATATTATTAAGAGAATAATAGCAATATGAAATTAAATAATAATTTATGATAATATTTTAAAGATATACTTAAATTTCAAATATTTTAACTGCAAATATATATTGTACCATTGTACCTAAAATTATTCAAAATAAATCATACAATTTATTAAATTATTTATTATTAGAACTTGTGCCATTTTGCTTAGCCTTATTTTGTAATTAGTTTATTATTTACAATCTGTACATTTCAATTTTTTGATTTAGTTTTATTATTACAGTATTAGATTTTGTGAGATTTTATATGTTATACTTCATTTGCGGGTAAAAGTTTAATATACAGTATATTGAAAAAGGATTACATAATTATTCGTTGTCGTTGTTGATGAATTGTGATTATTAATCATATGGTTGAAAAACAATAGAGTTGATAAACTATTGTACTATATCAATACATAATAATGTTTATAAATCTAAGCCCAAAGATAATTTCCAGTTTTGAGAGATATTATATCATATGTACTACTCCTTTCGGCAGATTTCGGCAGACTTTTGAATAAATTTATAATTAAACAAGATTCAATAGTATATAATACGTTATATAAATTTCTAAGTTTAAACTAATCCGCCTTCTCCTAAACTAAATCAATTTAATTACTTTTAATTATAGTAACAAATCAATACTTAATAGTTATTCGGCACGAAGTGCCGAATAAGTGATTTATCCGGTATCCCGTGATTGGAATATTGCCTGATACACGAATTTTAACCATTTTTAATTATAAAAAAATAACGTGATACCGGATAATATTAAATATTCCTTTGAATATTGATTGTATAGCGTAAAATTATTATACAATTCCGAGTTTATATTTAAAATAAAAGAATATATGTGAGATGAAATAACGTTATAATAGTTGGTCACCATCCAAATGAACCGAAATGATTGCTTGAAAAAAAGATATTCAATTATATTTCATACAAACTTAATAATTATATTCCTAATAAAACATTTACTCCGTACTATGAGGATGTAAAAGGAATAGTGGTTATCTTTGAAGATCTTTGTTCCGATCCTCCATCTGTACAGAGACAAATAATCCTGTTCTTTTTAAGTGGACGTCATAACAATATTACACCAATTTATGTTACGCAAAAATATCAGTGTGTACCAAAGGTATTTTTAAAAATGCAACACATTCCCTATAAAAAATAAATGTCCAGAAAATGTCTACGAAAATGTCCGGAAATTGTCCAGAATAAATCTGGCATGTCCAGAAATTGTCCGGAAAATGTCTATTTTTTGCTACAAATTTGATACCTAAAATTTTGACATATCCGGACTTTGTCCAGAATATATCCAGAATTTGTCCAGTATAAAATTTTGGACAAATTCCGGACAGATAAAACTGGACAAATTCCGGACATAGTAAAAATTCAGATAATTTGAGCTGGACAAATTCCGGACATGAAAAAATTCTGGACAAATTCTGGACGCTACTTCCAAAAAAGGATAAATTAATTTTGTAAAAAAATGCAAAAAGCACAAGACTGACATTCATAACCTTCTTTGTCATACTAATTAAATTTGCTGAGCAGGCAAAAATACTATATATCTATGATATAAAACTTTAAGTTAAAAGCAATTATAATGATGGTCACCTGTTGATCATCTTTTTGTGCCAAATTTTATGAAAAAATATTTCAGGTCAATTTCCGGACGAATTCTGGACAAAATGAGTGTCCGGAAACGAGTGTGTTTTCGGAACAATTTCCGGACATGGTACCTGGCATTTTCTGGACATTTTCCGGACAATTATTTAGACAAATTTTCCGGACAATTTCTGGACAATTTCCGGACACTTATTTTTTATAGGGATTTATGTTTATTCAATGGTGGTAGAGATATTTCTAGAATTGTACATCAGTACAGTATGTGGAGGATCAATGAAAATTATAAAAAAATATTTAATAAGAGAACGTGAGTTTATTGTTTTCGATTTAACCAGACCTGAAACAGATGAACTAGCTGTTAGAAAGGTGGGGCACGCGATTAGACCTTACTGGTGAGAAAATACCCAAGTTAAGTAGACCATCGGTCGTGGGAGTGAGTGAGACCCAGTTTCGCTTTACTCCAGAAGAGAAGAGATCTTCTTTATCAGTTTGGACATAATTTGCAATTAATTTTTAAATTCCGCTATTTTAGTTCTCTGTAAAATTACTAAATTGCAACGTGATTGTAGATCGTCCAAACACATGTTTTTTACTAGAGAAAAATGATATTGCCTTATAATTCACGCCCTTATTTTATTGTTGATCATGTGTTATTTCTGTTGTACGGGTTGCACAGGTGAAATTTATGCACAACATACAAACATACATTTGCATAACAAATCCGCGAAACTGTACTACTTATGCATAACATATCGATATATTTGCACAACAAATCTGTGAAACTGTACTACTGTCTCACTTTCAAAATTTCAAGACTTTTTTTTTTTACAAAATTAAAAAATATGAATGATATACGAGAAGATTTTGTTTGGGCTGCTGTTAATAAAGCATATACATTATTAGATCTCACTATAAATGATTTGGATAAACAATATGAATCTAGAAAAAAAATTGCTCTTGCTGATAAATCTCTTACAAAAGATGAAAAATCAGAAATAATAAAAATGTTAAATGAATTATATGGAATTTATAAAATTATAGATAATAAAGGAAAAAAAAGAATTTGTGAAAATTGTCTAGATGAATGTTTAGGAACATTATATTGTGAACATTGTGTTCGAAATTATTTAAAAGAAAATTTTTCAAACTGGACATCTGGAAATAATGAAATTGATAATTTAAAATGTCAAATGGAAACATTTCAACCGCAAAGAATAATTGAATGGATTCCATATGATGATTTACAAAATGTTAAATATTTAACTAAAGGTGGTTGTTCTGAAATTTACTCAGCAGAATGGATAGATGGAGGATATTATGAATGGGATTCTGAAGAAAATCAATTAACAAGATATGGAGACCAATATGTAATACTTAAAGAGTTAGAGAATGTCAAAAGTACTAATGAAAGTTGGTTTGAAGAGGTACGTAATTAAAATATTTTGTTTCATTATTTTTGAAATTTGTTGACGATTTTTATATAATTTTTTTAGAGCAAAGCTCATTTAACTATAAATAACAAATGGTCGGATGTAGCACAATGTCATGGCTTAACGAAAAATCCATCAAGCAGAAATTATATGCTTGTAATGGATAAAATGGATATGGATTTAAAAACATATCTAAAGCAATATTATAATAATATTATATTGAAAGATAGGATACAAATTGCTTATGAAATAATAGATGGATTTACAGCATTCATAATGAAAATGTAATTCATAGAGATTTGCATTCCGGAAATAATATATTGCATAATGGTAAAATTACCCAAGGTTTCTATATTAGTGATCTTGGATTTTGTGGACCTGTCGATAAACCACTAAATGGTGTATATGGAAATCTTCCTTATATAGAACCAGAAGTAATTACTGGAAAAAAACCCACTTATGCATCTGATATTTATAGTATTGGTATACTTATGTGGGAAATTTCATCTGGACAACTACCCTTTATTAATTATGAGCATAATTATGACCTTGCAATGAAAATAATAAACGGAATGAGACCAAAAATAGTACCAGAAACTCCTTTAGAATATAAAAAATTAATGGAACAATGTTGGGATGCTGATTCAACAAAGAGACCTAATATTTGTACATTAAGAAAAGAAGTACATAAGTTATTATTAAAATTTCAAAACTATCAAGATGATAGCCAAAAACAAATAATTTCCGATCAACATCCAACGAACATAAATTATAATAGTAAAATTTATCAATTTGAAAATTTACCTGAACCAAAAAATGCAACAGAAGGTAGTAGTATCATTTGAATATATTATAATATTATATATAATCATACAGTATATTAACATTCATATTTTTCAATTAAATAAAATTACAAAATAGAAGAACAAGAAGGTATATACTTTACTAAAAATGGCCAATTTTTTGAAATATTTTTATAGACCTAGATACAATGGCTTTCAAAACAATTGTGCAATTATTTTGTAAAATTTTTAAAATATATCAAGATATATTTAAGGTATTTTTGAGATTAAAATATTAAAATAATATCAAAGTTAATTATATTATAATAATAAAATAATAACAAAAACATTAAAAAATTATTGTGATATTATTTTGAGTTATTTTTATAGACCTAGATACAATACAATCACAAAATAATAGCAAAAATATAATAAAAACATTTTGATGTATTAAATGTATTTTTGTAGTATTTTAAAATTATTACAAAATCATTTCAAAAAATTGGCCATTTTTAGTAAAGTACAATAATTTATTAATATTTAACATTTAATTTTATTCTAAATATATATATGTGATAATTTTATAGCATTCCATAGTAAACCTTATAGTTTGAACATTCCTAATAATGATAGGTATTCTTAGCTTTAAATTAATATGTAATTAATTTTAAGTTTATTTATTTATTTTTTTTTATTTTTAGTTGATGATTTTAATAATTTAAGTAATGAGAAAAATGTTAATATTGAATCAAGTGAACATAAAGGTAAATGCTCATTATTAAATTTGATATTACTTTAAAATAAATTAACTTACTTTTATTAAATTAAATTTTAAAATATTTGACAAATTAGAAATTAATTCAAATTATAGTAAGTGAATCATATTAATCTAATTATAATGTTATTTAATTAAGGTTATTTTAATAAAATAAACTTTTTTTCAGTTATACAAGATGATCATAAAAAAGGAATTGAGCAACAAACAAAAAAGCATAGTTTGGATGTAAATGGTATATTATTTTTTTTTTTAGTATTTTATAGTAATAGCGAAAAATAATAATTTATAATTTTATTTTGCTTTATAGATGATGATGAAAAGCAAAATGAATTAGAAATTACAGGTGATGTATCTAAAAAAATTAGGACATCCTAAAAATTTATTATTATTTTTACAAACTTTTTTTTTATATTATGAATTAAATTTAAATCAATATTTATACATATTCAATTATTTAAACACTAAGACTAGAGTAGCAAAATAACTTTTGCAAATTTCTTAGTATGTAATTTAAATAATTTACTATTTATTTTTTTTATTTTTAAAAGAACTTTCAATAATAAATAAACTTGTAGTTTGAATAAACATTATAAACATTGTAATTACTATTGTTGCATATATATATATATATATATATATATATATATAATAATTATAATTTTATTTTGATTTGTCATAAAATAAACTAGGACGAATATTTTGGAAAAGAATTGATCCTTTGAAGCAATGAAATAATTAAACGAAAAATAATTTGAAGAATTTACTCCAAAATCATATAAATATGGTTTAAATTCAAAGTTAGTCTTTTAGCATTATTATTAAGGTCATATTTATGATAATATTACAGATTCATGATCGAATATTGTTATTTTAAGAGCTTGAATTTTTTTTTCTACATGTTGCTTATTAAAAGAGTAAAATATTTACTGTACAATGAAAATAAAATGTAAGAATTTTTCATAATAATCTATATAATATAATAAAAAAATACATGTCGATCTTCTAACGTTTAGATTAGCCTGTATAAATCATCTTTAAATTGTGTAATGCATTGCATGATTCATCTGCGCCTAACAGTACTACTAATTATATACTAGCAGTTACCCGTTGCTTCGCACTGGGACTAATGAGTTTGTTTAAATAGGCCGAGAACAATTTGGTATTATAATGTAATACTAAGTAAATTAAAAATGGTTACAGTTTTTTGATTAGTAGAATGATATAAATTATATTTAGAATAATATAATTATAGTGCATTAGAGTAATTAGTAAATATCTGCTTATGAAAAGAGTACATAGTTATAATAAGTATTTGTAATCAATAAATGGGCTAATTTAATTTTTTTTTAATTTCAGTAATAAAATAGCAATGATTAGCAATTTGTATTAATGCTATAATTTACTGATTAATGAATTTTAACTATAATAATATAGATCAAATATTTCAGGAGCAGACGGACCACCCATTACACAATTCAAATTATTTATACAAGATAATCTAAATGTTACAGAATTTTTTTAATTATATAGATGAACAGTATTTATGTATTTATGATATTAATTTAACTTACTTTAATATGTGCTATATAATGAAAAAATTAATATATAATATATGATATATCATATGAAACAGAGATCAAAAATATATTTTATATTATTATGTGTGTCTACTAATTTTATTACAGATTACAAATAAAATTGTAAAATCATACGAAATTATAATATTATAGATAATTTTAATTTTATAATAGCTTTTTTAAAATATTTTTTTTTGGTAATTTGATAATAAAGCTACGATAATTTCAAATCATAGTACGATTTAATGATTTATTATATAATAAAATGATCGGCATTCATAGTACTAATGATAAAATGATGATATAAATAAATGGTAATGATCGGTATTCATGATATTGATTTACCGATCCAAAAATTTAAACAGATAATAAATCAATAATATGGATAAATAAACAATTTTTAATGACTAATCTAAATATGACCCATTTTTTTTTAAATAATAGATAAAAGGGTTTAAAATTTGAATGCACCTGCACCCACTCACGTGACATGATTTTAAAATTTTATTGGTGATAATCAATCTATTTTTTATTTTTTACTTTGTTTAGGAACGTTTTTTAATTACTCTTTTTTTGTAGGAATACCCTGAAGATGAAATGGACCCCTAAAAATAAAAGGGGTGTTTTTTTCAATTTTTTTTCCCATTCATTTCATTCAAGAACAATGTTCCTAACATTCTTTCGTAATTTTTTTTTTATAGAAACACTCCCTGGAGACTCTTAAAGACAAAAGGTAAAATTCTTTTTCATTTATATTTGTTAATTTCGTTTAAGAACATTCCTAACATTCTTCAATATATTTTTTTTATAGGAACACCTCCTGGTGACTCTTGGAGATGAAAGGTAAATTTTCTTTTTTGTTTCTTTTATTAATTTCATTTAAGAACATTTCCTAACATTCTTTGAATAATTTTTTTTTATAGGAACGCCCCTGGTGACTATTGGAGGCGAAAAGTAAGTTTCTTTTTGTTTCTTTTGTTAATTTCATTCAAGGACGTTCCTAACATTCTTTCAATAATTTTTTTTGTAGGAACGTCCCCTAGATGAAAAATAAGTTTTCTTTTTTCGTCTCTTTTGTTAATTCCATTTAAGAATGTTTCTAATGTTCTTTCAACAATTTTTTTTTATAGAAATGCTCTTGGAGACAAAAAGTAAGTTTCTTTTT